AAAGCAGCAGGCTGTTTGGAATGTTAACAGTCCAAATTCTCACTCACAGAAACGGGCATGTGTTCCATCTTGGGCCATTGCCCCAGGCCTCAGCTGCGTTGCTGTGAGCACACGGCGGGTACACAGAATCATCTTCTATAATCTGAAGCCGTCATGCCCACGTGCCTCTGCTCCAGAGCGCAAGGCAGGCCCTGAGGACCCGGAGGGATGAGGGCGTGGGTTTTCCTCTGCTTCGGCGGCTTTTCCAGCTCCCAGGAAAGGAAGCTCAAGGGTGGGTGCTGTGGCCGAGAGGCATTAAGCCGCCACTTGCCTTGCTGACGGCCTGCGTGGGGGCACGGGTTGAGTCCCAGCTGCTGTTCTAATCCAGGATCACATGGGACACGGGCTGGAGCTTCTGCTTCTCTCTGCCCTTCCCTGTCCCTCTGCTTTTTAAATAAATAAACTATTTTTTTAGAAAGCAGGGTGCGGTGCTGTAGCACAGCAGGTTAAGCTGTGGTCTGCCGGGCCAGCATCCCATATGGGTGCCGGTCAGAGTCCCAGCTGTTCCTCTTCCAATCCAGGGCCGTGGGGAACACAGGAAGGAGCTCTTGGTTCCTGGCTTGGCCCAGCCCTGGCTGTTGTGACCGTATGGGGAGTGAACCAGTGGATGAAAGATTCTCTCTCTCTGCCCTTCCCTCTCTCTCTGTCACTCTGCCTTTCAAATAAAGAAATTAATTAAACATTTTTACAAAGCGGCTGGCGCTGTGGTGCAGTGGGTTAAAGCCCCAGCCTCTGGCACCGGCATCCCCTAAGGGCGCTGGTTTGAGTCCCGGCTGCTCCTCTTCCCATCCAGCTTTCTGCTGTGGCCTGAGAAAGCAGTAGAAGTTGGTCCAAGTGCTTGGGCCCCTGCACCCACGTGGGAGACCTGGAGGAAGCTCCTGGCTCCTGGCTTTAGATCGGCTCAGCTCTGGCCGTTGTGGCCATTTGGGGAGTGACCCAGTGGGTGGAAGACCTTTCTCTCTGTCTCTCTTCTCACTGTCTGTAACTCTACCTCTCAAATAAATAAATAGAATCTTTTTAAAAAAAATCTTAAAAAAGGGGAGAGGGCAGGGGGTGGAGCCGGTGCTGTAGCATCTGCAGTGCCAGCATCCCATATGGGCACGGGTTCGAGTCCTGTCTGCTCTACTTCCGATCCAGCTTTCTGCTATGGCCTGGGAAAGCGGTAGAAGATGGCCTAAGTGAGCCCCTGCACCTGCATGGGAGACCTGGAAGAAGCTCCTGGCTCCTGGCTTCAGATTGGCCCAGCTCCAGTCATTGTAGCCATTTGGGGAGCAAACCAGCTAATAGAAAACCTTTCTCTTGGGGCCAGCGCCATGGCGCAGTAAGTTAATCCTCAGCCTGCGGCGCCACCATCCCATATGGGCGCCGGTTCTAGTCCCGACTGCTCCTCTTCCAATCCTGCTCTCTGCTATGGCCTGGGAAAGCAGTAGAAGATGGCCCAAGTGCTTGGGCCCCTGCACTCAAGTGGGAGACCAGAAAGAAGCTCCTGGCTCCTGGCTTCAGATCAGTGCAGCTCCGGCCATTGTGGCCATTTAGGGGGTGAACCAATGGAAGGAAGACCTCTCTCACTGTCCGAAATTCTACCTCTCAAATAAATAAAATCTTTAAAAAAGAAAGAAAGAAAGAAAGAAAGCCTTCTTCTCTGTCTCTCCCTCTCTCTGTAACTCTTCCTCTCAACTAAATAAATAAATCTTAAAAATAGGGGTGGGTGGGTGGAGCTCAAGTCCAGATGTTGGCCCCCAGCTCCCTCCCACCGGCCTGTGTGCCAGGGGGGCTCACTCACCTCCTCCAGGTTTTTACCCGAACACAATCTCTCGGTGAGACCCACTGAGCCCTCCACAGGACAGTGGCCTCCCCAGCACTCCCAATCCCCTGGCCTTCCTCTGCTTGTCTGTCCCCCATGTCCACGCATGACCTCCAGCACTCACGAGCCTTGCCCCCCACCGTCTCCCCATGTCACCATGACTGCTGTGTGGGGCCCACCCAGGCAGGGATCCAGACGGCTCTGTTCATGGCTGCGTCCCCAGCGCCGAGAGCAGCGCCGGGCACAAAGCCGGCGCTCAGTCCACGCTTGCCGTCTGAATGAATCCAGCTTAACTGATGCAATTGCCCTTCAGATGGGTGCAGCCATTAGCGCCCGTTTTTCTAGAGAGAAGAGAGAGACTCTGAGAGGTGTTCTTATCACTTGCAGGTGGCCACTCTACATTGCACCAAAGCCCCCTGCACAGGGCTGCACACACAGGCCCAGAGGCACGCAGGCACATATATGCACAATGTGTAGTAGATGTCCAGGCAATTCTGTCTGGTTGGGGAACTCTGCACCTGCTAGGGACCTGGCCCTTTGTACCCAGAGCCATGAGGGCCTCAGCTCTGCAGCCTGGGACAGAGGCCACAGCCTTCTCCCAGCCAGGGCTGCATCGCTCTCTCTGCTATGGATGCCCTACCCTTCTCAGGGCCTTCCTCCCCCACTGCCGCCACCATCTTCCCTGCTTTGCCCTGCCTGGCTGATCTCTCCCATCCTTTGGGTCTCAGGTCTCAGATGAGACCTGACCTCCTGGGAGGCCCCCTGGCTGCCCAGCCACAGGGTGGTCCCAAGAGCATGCAGCCGGGGTGCTGCATAGCGTTCTTGCCTCCCCCGCACTCCTCAGGGCCCACAATTCCTAAATACTGGCGTGCACTTTTACGTGTGCTCGGTGGGAGTCTCCTCGGGGAGCCGCCCTGGGGCCATGGGGGCAGGGGCTCATCTCTCGGCTGCCACTGCGCCCACAGTGCTTTGTGCAGAGCTGGACACCAGCGAATATTTGCAGATGGAGTGAATGAGTACGTGAATGAACGAATGGCCTGTGTGAGATGGCAGAGAGAGAGCCGCAGCGAGGGCAGCGTCCAGCGAGACGCCCCCGTGCGGCCCTAAGCCTGGCAGTGATCCTAATGAGAGCAGCGGCTGTGGTAATGTACACACCAGGCTTTGCGCTAAAGCCCTCTTTGCATGGATCCGTTTGATCCTGTGAGCTATCATAGTTATTCCCAATTCACAGGTGAGAAAACCGAGGCAGTACAGAACCAGTCCAACGTCACCCAGCCAGCCAGCAGCAGGATTCAAGCTGCGGAACCCGTGACTCTCCCACATCCCATGGCTGGCTTCAGGAGTCCCGGGGCTGGGCCTGGTCGGGCTGGGTGGGGCTGTGCACTGGGCAGGGACCCTTCCACGTCCCACCCTGGCACACGAGCGAGCCTCAGGTGGGTTGGGACCGAGAGGGGAGCAGCTGTGGGAAGCCCTGGCCTGTGGCTCTCAATCCAGGCACACTGTGGCCTCAGGGAACATCAGTCCCCAAGGTTCGGTGCCAGCCGGGAGGGCCCTGGCAGGGACACATCTTCTGTGGACTGGCTCCAGGGGTGCCTGTGCTGTTTGCCGGCCCTTGGTGGCCACATGCTGTGCTCGGGCCGAAGCTCCGTCCCGTGGCCATTTTCCGACTCACGGGAGAGGCACTGGTGGGTCTTTGCTCTTAGCTGAGGGTGCAGAGCAGGCTCAGAGGTCAGCTCTGCTGCCCCGCCCTGGCCTCCATCTCCCCACTGCACAGCGGGGGCAGCGCCTGCCTACTTCATGGGCTTGCGGTGAAGCTCACGGAAGAAAATGCCTCCCAAAGCACGTTGTAAGTCGTGGCCCGCAGCTCACGGGGCATGCACGCCGGGACCCACGTGCTCGGGGGCTGCCCATGGTCTCCCTGCCTGCCAGTCTTCCTGACTCTGGCTTGTGTGGAGTCCTGGGGATCCAGGACGGAGGACCCGCAGAGCAGGACCCTCACTCCCATCCTGAGCTGGGAGCTTGGCTGGGTCCAGCTTCCCTTTCGCAGTGGGGTGGGTAGGCAGTTTAAGGGCCTGACCCCAGGGATCCCCAGGGCCAGGAGGCCGCCGACACTCCCAGGCAAGATTGCCGAAGCCTACCAGGGACCCATCTCCAGTCCTCGGGCCTGAGGACAGAGGCCCTGGGTAGTTCTCACTGTTCCCTGTGCCAGCGGCCATGTAAACATGTGTGTTACTGAGCCTTTGTCCATGCAGAGGGCAGGGACGCCTACACTGGGGGACCAAGCCATGTCCCCAAAAGCACACACGGAGTTCTCCCCCAGGTGTGCACACAGACTCCCCGTTCCCACATGCGCTCACCCCTGACCCCCGGCTTCTCCCAGCAAAGCTCCCGGATCTCCTCCCTTCCAACTGGGAAGCCACTTGCTTCTTCCCGGGCTCCCACTCAGGAGTCCAGCACCTCTTCCCCTGCTCTTTCCAATCCCAGGGAAGCACTCAGATCTCCAGGTCACACCTGCTACTCCACCGGCCCTGCAGTTCATAACTGGGGAGCCGAGGCCTGGAGAGGCTCGGGGGCCTCCCCGAGGTCACACATGGCCCAGCTGAGAAGCCGGTGCGGGGGCCTCCCAGTCCATAGTGCCCACTGCCCCTCAGCGTGCCCAGGACCGCCCACTAGCTTGTGTCGCTGGCTCCCCAACAGCAGGGCTCTGGGCCCAGAGTGCGGGCAGACCCAGGATGTGCACGCCCTGGCCAGTCTGGATGGGGTCCCTCTGGAGAGGACCAAGGACCCGGATCTGCTCAGCTGAGTTCTCAGGGGCAGCCTCCCCACCTGCTGCGACCCAGTCTCTGCCCCGACACCATTAGCGCTGCCTCAGGAGGAGCTCGCTCACTATGCCCGGGGACAACCACGCATGAGTGCCGCGGGGAGCCTGGAGGATGGCTGGGTGAGTCTGATTTTGGCACAGGTGCTGCCTGGAAGGGTCCCAGGAAGCTCCCAACAGCACAGAGAGACACAAGCTTGGGGAAGCAGACTGGGTGCCCCCAAATCTGCACAGCACTCCAGATAAACGACGCAGGGGGCCCAAAGTCAGGCGTGGGGAGAATCGGGGTCACATACCCTGGAGCCCGGGTGCCCTGGCAAAGCCAGGGCAAGAACTCACCCAGCATCCCCAGCAAGGACACGGCGGCCAGCGGCGGTGGCTGAGAGCCCATGGGCGCGGCCTCCTCCTGCCTCAGGCCTGGCAAGCTCGGCACCCGCGGCCCTGCGTCTCGCTCTCAGGGAGGAGGGGGTGGGGCAGGCAGGCGCGGGTAGGGGTGGGACGGGGGAGCAGGCAGCGGGGGCCTGCGTCACCCACGTTTGAAGTTGAACTGTCAACTTCCTCCTGGCAAAACCGCCTGCCCCAGTTCATATGGTGGCCCCGGCCTCTGCTAGCATCCTGCCCGAGGAGCCCAGGGCCAGCGTGGTGCCCCATGGCCACCCGCACACCAGGACCGGGCCAGGTAGCCTGGTAACCAGGCTGAGCACACGGAAGAAGTAGCCTGGCTCTAGCTGACGGCAGGCCCGAAGCGTGCAGGGTTGACAGGGGGGAGGTCCCTGAGGCAGGAATCCCACCCAGTGGGCTTTGAGCTGTGACGGGGAGGTGGGGGGAGGGTGGGAGGTGGGAAGGAGGACCTGACCCCGGCTCTCGCCAAGGACTCTGGGGAAGAACTGAGGTGAACGCCTCCACTTCTTTAGGAGGGGTGAGGCTGGATGTGAGGTGACCCTACAAGTGTCATTCATCAGCAGGCACAGCTGTTGGGCCCCCAAGAATGCTGGGCTCGCCCCAGTGTGTGCATGTGTGTGAGGTCTCCATGTTGAGGGGGTCCCACACTGACGCTCTTAGTCAACCTGGGGGCTGTTGAAGAAGAGGCGGGGTCTCTGGGGTTCTATGGAGTAGCCCGGGGAGGCCTGGGGCAGGAGGAGGCTCTAGCCCCCAGCCCCACTCCTCTTCTGCTCCAGCACCAGGAGACCTGGGTCCTCTGAGCCAGGGAGGTGGAAGCAGGTGTAGGCTGGGCTGGCTGCCTGTGAGGTGTGGGATGGAAGGGTCTGAGCCTGGCTCATCAGCCCTCCCAGGCGTCCCCCCGGCTTGCCCTCCCCACAGCTCCAGGTCCTCCAGGGCTGGGGTTGGCTCTGGGGCTGCAGCCCCTCAGCTTCCCCACGTCTGCTCACTTAGCAGAGAGAACATACAGAATGACGACTCCTAGGGGAGCTGTGCCGGGAGCTGCCCCCAGCCCTCACCCGGCCCCTGGAGCTCCCTCCTCCCCGCCTGGAGTGGGCCCTGCCTCAGCTCTGGGCTGTGCAGCCTCCCCCGCCTCTTCATTCATTCGTCCACCTATTGATGGAGCCAACATTTGCTCCGTGCTGAGCACCAGGGTTGCAGAGGTGAAGCAGGCAATCCAAGGACCCCTCCGGAGGGTTCTTGCTCTGGAGCCACGGGGTTTCAGAAGCTGCAGGGGGTCACACCAGCTGCGTGTGGTCAGTGGTCCTCCAGGCCCCTGTCCCCGACAGTTTACATAACCGCAGCCCAAAGGGGAGAGGGGTGTACGTTGAGGGTGCCCCCTGCAGCCAGAGGCGTGACCTCCTTAACTTCCCATTTCACAGATAAGAAAACTGAGGCTCTGAAAGTAGCCTATTTGGCCCCTGGAGATCACAAGTGAGATTGGAACCCACGTTTTTCACTCCACAAAGCCTTTCCACGGCTCTCCACCCACCTTCTTATTCAACACAAAGCAAGCAGACCAAGCATGTTGGCGTGAGGGTGGGCGAGGGATGGTTGCTCCTCTTCTTTGGTGGCTTGGTTTTTGGGAAACTGAAAGTAGCCCAGTGCCGGAGGTTGCTGCCTTCCCGTCCCTGTGCCCGGGGCTTGGTGCCTCCCAGATCCCCACGGAGGGGACCCTGGGCTCCGGGAGCCTCCTCCCCACTCTGCCTGCCCTCACCGCTCCCTCCCTGCCGCCCACTCTCATTGTTACCCCTGTGGTCCCCTTCCCTGTCACCCCCACCTGGGGGCCCAGGTCCTGTGCCCGCTCAGACCCCTGGCGAAGTTTCCTGTCCTCGCGGCTGCACTTTCCATGACACAAGAGGAAGTCAGCTGAGTGCGGGGCTGGGTTTTCCATGCAGCCGGGCAGGGTGGAGGCCGAGGTGGGGGGGAGGGCATGGCGCGCCCCCAGGGCTGGCTGTCAGAAGCTCGTTGGTCTCTGTGCTGGAGAGATACCTGCCGGTGCTGCCTGGCCACAGCAGGTAACGGGTTTGGTGTGCGTGTGTGTCTGTCAGACCCTCGGGACTCGGTCACTCCCAGCACCCCCGGGAGTTTGCCCTCCACGCAGGGATGAGAGGGCCACAGGGGATGTGGGGAAGAGGGGGAACTGAGAGTGAGAGGGAGGGGCGGTGGGAGGGGAGGAAGGAGGCTGAGAAACGGGGCTGGTGCGTAGTAGGACCTCAATGTTTGCTGAGTGGATGAGCGAGGGAGTCTTTGGGACAATTCCCAAAGACAGGGGGATGGCCTGGCAGCCAGAGAAGGAGGGCTTGGAGAGCCTTCCAAGTGGTTGTTTGTTGAATGACTCGGTGACCTGAGCCCTTGAAAGCTTCTACATCGCAGCCCCATTGGGGGCGCACAACCACCCTGGCTCAGGAAGTGGTAGGAGCCGGGTCATTAGCAGGGGTAGGAGGTTCTGGTTCTGGATTGGCAGCTGACGGGGGTGCTGATAGTAGCCACAGGTACCTGTAGGCGAGTCCCACCACTGTCCAGCATTGTCGACAGAGACCCTGGACCTCAGTTGGTCCCTCTATAGGATGGGGCAGTCGAGCAATCTGGGGCCAGCTCTGTCATCTTAGGAACCGGCCGGTGGCTGTGGGGGGTGGGGTGCAGGCCAAGTCGGCCGGGGTGGGGGATTCCTGGGACCTGGCTGGTCTGACTCCTGGGCTTGCGTGAGAAGGTGTCAAGGGCGGGGCTCTGCGGGAAGGGCGGAGGGCGTGAGCTGGCTCAGGCGGCGGCTCAGGGTGGCCGTCCCAGCCACAGGGACAGGTCAGGGACCAAGCCGTCCCTAACAAGCCTGGTTTCAGGTCCGGGGGGTGAAGCCGTGAGTAAGTTCCTCTGCGGATCTGCTCAGTCGCTCGCCAGTGAGCTGGTTGTTGACACTGAAGCAGAGCGAGCTGTGGGCAGCATGAGGCCCGGCCCTGCCTTGGGGAGCCGTGGCTCTCGGCGTGTGATGATGGTTTTCAGGGTGGGGGAAGGAGGAGTGTAGGATTTGGGGGTCCAGAAGCTGGCTTTACATCCCGACTAGCTGGGTGACCGTGGGCAAGTCACTTCCTCGTGCTGACAGTCATCATCTTCCTGTACTGAACTGCAGGGCTTCTGGAAGGTTCTATGACAACAATGTGACAGACTGGTAAACCCTAGCACACCTGAGTGTGAAGGCCTGCCCCCCCCCCGCGCCCCCCGGCCTCGTGGGCCCTACTCACCTTTCCCTAGCAGGTGCCTTGTGCCTTGAGACCCTCTCCACTCCCACGCCCACCAGGCCCCAGCCGGCTCCCCAGCCAGTGTATGCCAATCACATGTCCCATAGCCCACGGCCCTGAGGCCTCAGCCTCGGGGGTCTCCCCACTGTTGTTCCTGTAAGTGAGATTGGACTTGGTCAGCCACAGGGCATAGGTTTTGGCTGAGAAAGTGAGGCCACCTAGTAGTATAGACGGGTGGTAGCCAAGCCCCTGTTTCCAAGGTAGCACGTGAGGAACAGAGAGGGTAGGTGAATTCCCAAGGCGCAGCCCCCTCTCGTCTCAGGCAGAGGCCCCTCTGGCCTTGACGGGGTTGTACCGGGTCAGCCGCGGGGGACAGCAGACCCAGCTCTGTTCCCAGTCAGGTTGCCTCGGCTCCGGAGCCCCAGCTCTCTCTGGAAGGGGAGGGGAGCAGAGCCTGTTTTGCAGGGTGTCCTGAGCATACACAGTGGGCGTCAGCAGGGTGGGGAGACCAGCGGCTGCCCCCCAGCCCGTCAGAGAAGGGGCCGTGTTTCTGAGACCCACAACGCTAGTCAGAAATCACCCCCTCCCCTTTTCTTTTATTATGCCACCCAAGCCTTCTCCCAGCACTCAGCACCCAGCACAAAGCCATCTCATGAACAAACGAACGCGTAAATGACAGAGAAACTTTCAGCGTGGGCACAGGAAACAGGCTGGCACCCCCACCCCTGCCCCGAGCTTCCCGTCTATAGTTAGGCCTGAGGGAGCCGGGGGGAGGAAGTGTGCCCGTTCCCACCTCTGAGACAATCTGGGAAGGCGTCCTGGTGGGGGTGACAGCCAGGCAGAGGCCTGAAGCATGGATGGGAGTGTGCCAGCTGGGTGGTGGGATGGGTTTCCAGGCTGAGGGAAGAGGCAGGGCCCAGGCTCCCGGGTCCTGTGAAGGCCGAAGCTGTGCTGCTACCGTGAGAGGGTCTAGAAGTTGGGGGACCTGGCGTGAGTCCTGGCACGGCCATCCTGGGTCTCCCCCAAGGACTTGGTTTATCTGGCAGTCCTCAATCGCTAATGTGAGGCTTGGGGTCTTTTAAAAAGAATACTATTGACCAGAGCCCGAACACTTGACACAGTCTTTTTTTAAAAATGTTATTTTATTTATTTGAAAGGCAGAGCTACAAAGAAACAAAGGCAGAGAGAGAGAGAGAGAGAGAGAGAGAGAGAGAGAGAGATGTCTTCCATCCACTGGTTCACTCCCAAATGGCCGCAACAGCCTGGGCTGAACCAGTCCGAATCCAGGAGCCAGAAGCTTCCTCCAGGTCTCCCACGTGGGTGCAGGGGCCCAAGCACTCGGGCCATCTCCCACTGCTTTCCCAGGCCACAGCAGAGAGCTGGATTGGAAGTGGAGCAGCCGGGATTCGAATCAGCGTTCCTATGGGATGCCAGTGCCACACGCAGAGGCTGCTATGTTACAGCACTGGCCACAACATGCAGCGTTTTTTAAAGAATGAGATGGCAAAAACTATAGCTTCTTTTTTTAATGCTCACACACAAAATCACGTTTTGAGAGCTGTCCGATGCTCACCAGGCTGAGAGGTGGTATACACAGAGGGCATTCACCTGGGGAGGGTAGAGAAAATGAACAGACAGGGCTAAGGGCAGGTGAGTTCCAAGCCAGCTGCACGGTAGAACACTATGCAGTCAAGGAGGAGGAGGAGGAGCTAGGTCCCAGTGCTCATGGCAGCCTGCTCAATGAAAAAAACTGAATT